ATATATATATATATATATATATATATATATATATATATATATATATATATATATATATATATATTTGTTAATACACAAGTCAGAAATACATATCACAATCTGTCAATATAAAGCTTTTTCCATAACTTTAAATATTGATAAGCAACTTTAAATTAGAAATATGGTGTAATGCCATTTCTCTTTAACTGGTAACAGTGGACACCAACTTCACTTTAGGACCCAAAAGACACTCTGGCCCGCCAGAGAATCCCATACAAACCATTCAGTCGATCACAGAGGACAAACCTCAGTCAAGCTGCTGATTCAGCCAATGCAATAACAAGCACCATTCCTCAAAGCAAAAGTCTGAGATACATTTTTTACAAAACAACTGAAATGAAAAAGCGTTCAGCCAAGTGTGTTTTCAAACCTCAATGAGTTTTTCTTTTCTACTGAGTGCAAAAGAGTATATTTTGCAGCATGTTGGAAACTGGTGGCCACTGACATCTGTAGTAGGAAAACAAAATACTATGGAAGTCAATGGCTACCGGTTTCCATCATTATTCAAAAAATCTTCTTTTGTGGTCAACAGAAGAAACTCAAACAACTTTGAATCTAGTAGAGAGTTGGTAAATAATAACAGATCTTTTATCTTTTGGTTGAACTATCCCTTAAGTAGTGAGCATTTCTTTAAAAAGTGGCATTAAAGACAACTTTCTGCTGTTATACTAAAGCATCTGTTTGTTTGTTTTTGTGTGAAATTATTTTGCAGTTAAAATGTTATATTAGACCTGAAAATCAATCACACTGCAGTGGTACTGACATACTTTCACCTTTTAAATGAAGGCGAATGTGCCAAGTGGTAAAATGCATTTCTCTGATGCATGACTTGGTAGTTCAGCTCATTGCTGGAACACAACCTTGTTTCCCTTCATTCATTAATGTTTTTTTTCTCCATTAGCCCATTATGGAAAGTAAAGTCAGGCTCAGGAACTGCTCTCTTTGATGTGGAATGCCCTGCAAAAAGAAGACAAGCAATAAATGATGAGTGAAAGAAAAAATAAGATGAACAGGACCTACTGTGAAAAAATGTATTCAATTTTTGACCTTTAGCTCTTTTGCTCTAAATAAATAAAATAGGTCACACTTTACAATAAGGTTTCATTAGTTCATGATAGTTACTAACATGAATTAAGAATAAACAATACTTCAACATCTACTAATACATTATTAAAAATTCTAATTCAAGCTTGTTTACATTACTTAATGCACTGTGAGTTAACATGAACAAACAATGAACAACTGTATTTTCATTAAATATTACAACCTTATTGTAGTGTTACAACAAAATAATACTATTAATAAAATCGTCTGCTCTCATTGAGAACAATTGTAAATAGTTTGATCAAAAATCTATTAAATACATGACGTGTACCACAATTATGGTCACCCCTATGAATTCATACTAGTAAAAACTATTTTTGAACTACATTAACATAGTTTTTTTTACAGTTTCAGTACACCAGGGTGTGAATTACAGGGGGTTTGGGGAGACTCAATCGCCCTAATTAACGCTCGATCCCCCCTGAAGAACATAAAACAAATGTATGAGGGGGTCTGCCCTTTAAAAGTTAAGAAATAGTTTGCTCTGATCTACAGTTGAAGTCAGAATTATTAGCCCCCCTGAATTATTCACCCCCCTGTTTATTTTTCCCCCAATTTCTTTTTAACGGAGAACAGAGTTTTTCAACACATTTCTAAACATAATAGTTTTAATAATTCATTTCTAATAACTGATTTATTTGATCTTTGCCATGATGACAGTAAAAAATACTTGACTAGATATTTTTCAAGACACTTCTATACAGCTTAAAGTGACATTTAAAGGCTTTACTAGGTTAATTAGGTTAACTAGGCAGGATAGGGTAATTAGGCAAGTAACTGTATAACAATGTTTGCTTTATAGACTATGGAATTTTTTTTTTTGCCTTAACAGGCTAATAAATTTGTCCTTAAAATTAATAGCTGCTTTATTTCTAGCCGAAATAAAACTTTAAACAAAATAAGACTTTCTCCAAAAGAAAACATTTTATTAGACATACTGAGAACATTTCCTTGTTCTGTTAAACATCATTTGAGAAATATTTAAAAAAGAAAAAAATTTAAAGGGGGGCTAATAATTGAAACACCAATTGACCTCAACTGTGAATCCAAAACAAATACTAATTAAACAATATATAACGTAAATATACATTCGACCAACCCCATAATGTTTCATACCATTGTATATGCATGTTTGCGCCAAAAACTATTAAGCGGCAAATCTAAAGCACCAAAAGACAGCGTAAGTGTTCATGTGTCTTGTAAAATAGGCATTTGTACCATAGGTGTCCATAACACTCGGTGCATAGTTTGTATTTTATTTAACACTTGCTCATATGGAAGTTAAACAGTAAATTAAAAAATATGTGTAGTCTTTCATGGTCATTCATTAATAGGTGCAGGAATGCGAACCAGTTATCGTTTATTTAATAATCACAAATGTCATTGAGAACCACCCAATATCCCTCAAAATACTGAACACAAAAGTTTGGTAAATAATTTAGATGTAATTGAATTAAATAGATAACTTTGGTTGATTGACACATATTTTCGAACATAACCGAAAAAACTTCTCACCAATCGTCAATGTATAATTCTCACCCTGCAGTACACCTGGGTGACAAACAGGAAATCGTTCAATCTTGAGCTCATGTTTCACATGGCTATAAATGTGTGGCCAAACCCACTCAGTCATTAATAAGCCCACACAGAATCTGCAAGTGCAGAAATCCAGAGATTTTTAGCCCATCACTAAGTCTTTTGTGTAAATGTGTGTAAATTTATATTTATTCAGTTTTTAAATGAATTTCACTAATATTATTGCGATATAATAATAGTGATATTAAAATGTTCATTTGATTGATTTAGAATACAGTTTGTAAAGTATTATTTTCAGTCTTTTAGTAGATATATTATATGAGAGACTTGCTTTGTTTACCAAATAAGTGGATCTAATTGGATTTACATTGTAAACATTCAATAAATGTCAAAAAAAAACCAATTACTTTTTATTTCACATATTAAGTTTTTAGTTACGATACTTCCAAAATCATTCTGGATAAATCTGCAGATTTTTTACAAAATTATCAGCAGAAATGGCTAAATATAACAGCGGATTCTGTCTGGCCATAGTCATTAATTATGTAAAACCAAAGAAAATGACTGATTTAAACTTCACAAGAAGTGGCAATAACAAAAATCACAAAAGCATGTCAATTTCCACCATCAGAAAAATAATTAAGAAACTCTATTCAACTAGGAGTGTTATCAATGAGCCTTGAAGAGGATGTTTGTCAATCTTGTCCAAACACACTGTTAGGATGATGATTTGAGCTGGAGAACTGCACTAGTTCAGACTGCATGATTTTAGCCCCGATTTTGTGCAGCTGCATCTGAACTAAATCCTGAAATTCTTACCCTTTTCATTCATCTTTCTCCCTTCACAGGCTTGGCAGTGGTATTTGCCACACCATGATAGTGGACGCCATCTCCTCGTGCTTGGACTGTTTGGTTTTTCGGTTGATTCTGCGGTGTCCGAGCCCTCCTGACACCACCAGCACAGAGCTGGCACTGACTCTGTCAGTCTGCTTGGCCTTCTGGAAGTGTGCCGGCTCGTTCAGCAGGTCGTATATGGCCCCGTCCTCTGGGCCGTGCTCTAAAGATGCCTGAGACAGAGCCAGAGAGCCACACGAGGAGGACGGGGAGTCCTGGAGAACAGGCGCATGTGAGCCGCTGCTGCAGTTCTGGTTTAGTGTGGCTACCTCCAGTTCCGAGGCCTCAGGCTGGCACTGACTGGGAGTACTGGAGGTGAGGGTTGCCATGGTAGCTTGAGAGACGTTACACACTGCTGTTGCCATGGTGAGGAACTTGACTGGGCCGTGGTGTGCATGAAAAGAGACCATTCCTCGACCTGGAGAAGGACGATGAGAGAGATTCAGACATGAGACATTTTTAAAACAAAGTGTGGTTGTTGGTAGAGCTTTGTAACAGCATTGTAGGGCTGGGTGAAAAATGTATTACAGAAAAAAACAACACTGAAAATTGTAGTTCTAATGCTTTTAATGGCATGTATTGCATTTCTCATTCATTTATTCATTTTCTTGTCGGCTTAGTCCCTTTATTAATCTGGGGTTGCCACAGCGGAATGAACCGCTAACTTATTCAGCAAGTTTTTACGCAGCGGATGCCCTTCCAGTCGCAACCCATCTCTGGGAAAGTATTACATTTCTATTTATAATTATTTTTTATTTCATTTCAAGTATGTTTAGAGTTCCGTTACTTCCAAAACATACATTTTACAAGCCGTTTTGTTAAACAACTAAAATAAAAGTACTGTTTATAATAGGGCTGGGCGATAAAATCGTTGTCAGTATTTATTGACTGAACATCACTGCACGTAAGGTACACCTGGTTGAAAAACACCTGAACTTTTCCGATTGCCCCAACAACACCACGATTCATGCAAGTAGAACTAACCGATCTGCTTCACACTTTGTATGAATATACACATTTCAGTAATAATGGCATTTATAAATGTATTGTTAAAAGTATTATCGATATCGAATGATATGAAACATGATATTGTGATAATTTTTTTTGCAATATCAACCAGCCCTAGTTTATAATATTATACATAAAATACAATTATAGCACATAATGGGAAATGCTGTCTTCACATGCTGTATCCAACTAACAACTAATGTGCATTATCTTTGAATTCAGCTATTTTTTAATAATTTAAATAGATTTTTAATAGTTTTAGCCTTAACACTGAAAAACTGAAAGAGGTCATCAAAAGCAGAAGTGGATGGTTATTAAATTGTTGGGTGTGGTTTGTTCCTGAACTTGTGCCGAGTTGCAAACTTATCCAGCAAAGCCCCAATTTCGATTACAAAGCCTGCATGACAGATGATACCCACCTGTGACCTTTGGGATGCCCTGTAGTCTGGGCACAGAAAGGGCCACCGTGACCCCCAGATTAGTGCCCACTAGCAGCAGACCGTGACACACCAACAGACTGCTCACAGAGACTCTCTGCTGTCCTGTAGGAGAAACACACAGACGATAAATCATTAATTCGCTACAAACTAAAAACACACACTAGAGAACACTTGAACACACTAGTTGATGTTCAAGCCCAGTGGAATAATAGCATCATCCACACATGCCAGGCTGTGTGGGCAGTGCATGTGGGCAGGTTACTATGGGGATGATGCTGGAGAGCAGTTGGTTTCTGAGGAAACCTGACACGACACACTCTTAGAAATGGTAGGAAGGTCTCATTAAAAAGAGAAACATGCCAAACGGTCATTAATTGGTCAAACAAACAACTCTAAATCTGTCAAACGCAATAAGCATTACTCTTTTCAGTACAATAACTGGAACAATTTCAACAAAATAAAAATAATTAGCGGTCCTGTGTTCCATTAACAAGCTACAGGTCTGATCCAACCACAAAACTGTGAAGGATTTAAGATACATTTTAAAATGGTTGATTCAATCTAAATATTTCTTTATTCATTTTCTTTCAGGTTAGTCCTTTATTTATCAGGGCTCGCTATAGCGAAATGAACCACCAACTATTCCAGCATATATTTTATGTAGTGGATGCCCTTCCGGCCACAACCCACTACTGGGAAACACCCATGCGCTCTCGCATTCACACTCATACACTACAGCCAATTCAGTTCACACAATTCACCTATAGCGCAAGTCTTTGGAGGAAACTGGAGCACCTGGAGAAAACCAACAGGAACACAGGGAGAACATGCAAACTCCACACAGAAATGCCATCTGACCCAGCTGGGATTTGAACCAGCGACCTTTCTTGCTGTGAGGCGACAGTGCTAAACACTCAGCCACTGTGCTACAAAAAATATTTCTTGCTTAGTACTTTTATTATAACTATTTATAGTTATAGAAATACTAATAATAGTTATAAAAGTACTTTTATTATAACTAAAGAACAAGTTTTTAAAGAAATAAGAAACAGCAATGTTGTTGACCAGAGGTGCCGTTAAAAGTAAAAATAATGTCCTTGTTTACAAACTTGTTTCAGTCCCTTTAGTCTCCTGAGACTATTTAATGATTTATCTTGTGCCCAAACTTATTTTCCCAAATTTCTAAATTTCACATTTTTGAATTTATTCTAAACTTTACATTTTTGTACGTGATAAAGGCATATAAATTGGCAGATGGATAAATAATAAATATTAATAACACTGATTCTTCCTCTCCTAAAATCTGTTTTTTTTTCAGTCATGTGATATTTGTACTAGTCTGTTTGTGGCAGAGAATTAACCACTATAAATGTACAAATATTGCTATTGCTTTGTCAGGTAATGTAGGTTTACTAGTTTGTGGGTGAGAATGTAGTTTTTTATATTTCAGATATGAAGTCTATGTATGACAATAGCACCTATTTAAAAGTTTACTGGAGATTAGTGCTCCACTGTGTACTAATTAACCCCATTGAGAATATTCTTATCTCGACAATTATTTTGGAATTTACCGCTGTATTCAATTCACCTATAGTGCATGTCTTGGGACTGTGGGTGAAACTGGAGCGAAACCCATGTGAACACAGGGAGAACATGCAAAATCCACACAGAAATGCCAACCGACACAGCTGGGGCTCGAACCAGCGACCTTCTAGCTGTGAGGCGACAGTGTTAACCACTAAGCCACTGTGCTGCCCAGTCCCACCACATTTCATGGAATTTTATGCAGTACTTTTTTTAGTCTAAACGCAACAAAAATGTGCTTGTAAGTTTCAATAGTGTTGACTAAGAAGGAAACTATTCTTTTGTCATCGTTATCACATAAGCAAACAGAACTGCATGTAAAAAGGGAACAACACACAATATAACTTGACCCTGACTAAACATCACACCCATCAACGGGTTAAACTCCTCCAAACACCTGACTGAGCTGAAGCAGACTGCGGTCTGAAAGTGTTGGACAACAGTGTCCTATTCAGCTGTTCCAGAGCTCAGTGACTCGTTAGGAAAGCCTTGGCTCATATTTCTGAGCATCACAGATCATTACATTAGTCATGGAAACTGCTCTAATAGGGGACCATAACCGAACAAATAAGGGCATTACTATGCATGGTTTTGTAACTTTTTATTGCGAGTTAGATCAAGAAGGCCAAGTCTGTCACAAAGAAACTAAAAGATTTATGGGCTTTTCTGTAAACAACTTCACTTTAATGGCCAATGCAAAAAAGATTCATACATAAGACTAATTATACATTTTGTTAAAGAAGACCTGTTATACATTTTTAAGGCATTCAAAGATAGATGTGTCCACAGTGTGCGTGTAAACATCCAGATAATTAAATATTTAAAAACAATTCCACTTACTCAATCTCCATTTATGTTTACTAAGATTAATTTAAGACATTTTTAAAACAAAGAATGCTGTTAAAGTTGAATATTGCCCGAATACTATTTTACAATGGACTGTTTCACTAACAAGAGTCAGTTCACTGCTGGATCTGTTGTACCAATGCATTGTGATTTAATTTCATATCCAGAACAAGCATGTAACTTCAAATTTGATGCTATTTCCGGAGTATCAGAAAGATATTTAAAGACTTTGTCCTCCTTGTAAATAGGGTTGGAGAGCAGCAGTTCACTTGTATTTAAAGGGACACACAAAACAGTGTGTTCTCGATCACAAATCAGGGAAAATTTGAAGCTATAAAATGTAATTTGACTACAAAAAATGTACTCCCTGGATGGGTGTGTTTTGAGCTACAACTTCATTCACATTTGTGGCACGCCACAGATTTGAATGACAGTACATCCTGCAAAAAGGTTCCTAATATGTCCCTTTTAACATGACTAAATAGCATGGCTTTTTTCCTGGAACTCACCATAACAAGTTAGAGCAAACTTGTCTACAATAAGATTAGAGCTTTGTTTTTGAAAAGAGCCTGTGGTGAATTCAGCTCCTCAGCTGGCTGCTGTGGTGTAGCTGAACAACATCCAAGAATAGATGTAGCTCTGGGCTCGGTATGTGTCTCTTTGTGTGTGTGTGTGTGTGTGTCTCCAGTCTGACCTTCGAAAAAGAGACAGGAAGATTCCGTATTATCACATTCTATTAAACTATACTATTTATAATAATAATAATAATAATAATAATAATAATAATAATAATGATAAAAATATTATTATTAATGCTTTTTATTATGCCTAATATAATAAATAACTATTTATACTACTACTACTACTACTAATAATAATAATAATATTGATAAAAATATTATTATTAATGCTTTTTATTATGCCTAATATAATAAATAACTATTTATAATAATAATAATAATAATAATAATAATAATAATTACTACTTTTTATCATTTTTATAATATTATAGTATTATTAATAATACTTTGTATTATTCTTATAATGTATAACTATTTATTTCTATTACATTCTATTATTATTATTAATGATTTTTATTTTTCTTAATTTAATACATAACTATTTATTATCATTAATATTATTATTAGTTTTTATTGTTCTTATAATATACAACTATTTATTATTATTATTATTATTATTATTATTATTGTTTTTATAATTTTTTATATAATAACTATTTATTATTATTATTAATATTGTTATTATTATTATAATTATTAATGCTATTAATTATTATTATTATAATAATATATCTATTTATTATATTATTATTAATAATACTTTTTGTTATTATAATATATAACTATTTATTATTGTTATTATTATTATTGCTTTTTATTATTATTCTTATAATATATATAACTATTTATAATTATTATTATTAATGCTGTTTATTATTCTTATTGTAATTACGACTATTTATGATTATTATTGCTTATTATTATTATTATTATTGCTATTTATTATTCTTATTATAATATAAAACTATTTATTATTATTATTGCTTTTTATTATTATTCTTATAATATATAACTATTTATAATTATTATTATTAATGTTGTTTATTATTCTTATTGTAATATACAACTATTTATTATTATTATTGCTTATTATTATTATTATTATTCATATTATTATTATTATAATATAAAACTATTTATTATTATTATTATTATTATTATTATTATTATTGCTTTTTATTATTATTCTTATAATATATAACTATTTATTATTAGTAGTATTATTATCATTAAACTAAAATGTTTTCTTTAATGTTTAAACTAAACCAAGCTATTGTAATTAATCATCTGTAGTTGAGTGATATTACAGCTGATGTCTTAGTATCAGCATCAAAAGACTGACACACTGTGTTCTAAATCATGTCAAGAACCATCCAAACTGATTTGTCAATGATTAACTTATGGTGGATTCAATCTTATGAGCAGAATAAACAACGACTCTCTAAATCACTCTGTATTTACCAATTTTCACAATTAAATTACAACCAGTATCGACATGCCAGTATTTATTAAGCTCTAGTACTGCTCTAACAGAAATAAAAACAAATTGACATGGCACATTTTTTCAGTCTTGGCCATTAACCACTAATGGCACTTTCATCTTAACATCATTTCAATTTAAACATATCGTTCATTCATAATTAATGTGATAATGAAGATCTATTGAACCAGAAGAGTCGATGCAGTTTTTGTGGTGGTGACTGCTGTGTTTGTGTCATTACTGCACACATGACTGAGTATTTGGGTCACAGGAGACAAAGCCATCAGAGACAAAGACCACTAGCTTTAGTATCACAACCACTGATGTCAGTCTAATAAACGACATAATATGCATTAAGATTTCCTTCAAAGCTTAGCAGATTACACTGACTGAAAGTGCTTCATATTACAAACAAACACCGGCACAATTGGAATACAAACAATCTGTTTAACAAATCTGTCACCAGCTGTCACCATTCATGACCAGTCAACGGGATCATGACTGTGTCTGCCAGTCAATTCAGCAAATGTTACGCAAGACAGTGCGGTACAGCCAGAATGATGTTTGACATTGACTCCAGGTGAGTTCAGGACATCCATTCTCTCAAAAGA